TATATCTAACAACCCTATAGACGTCTCCATTTTTTTTTTTTTAAGATTTTATTTATTTGAGAGAGAACATGAGTGAGAGAGCAGAAGCAGGGGGAGCAGCAGAGGGAGAGCAAGAAGCAGACTCCCCAACGGGCAGGGAGTCCGATGCGGGGCTCGATCCCAGGACACTGGGGTCATGACCTGAGCCGAAGGTAGATGCTTAACTGACTGAGCCACCCAGGCGCCCCAGATATCTCCATATTCTTGTTTAAATTTACAGGTCTGTGAAAAGGGAAGGTCTGGTAAATGCCGACCTAGAGAAAATGTACTCGTTAACGCTAACCAGTTGTCATGCCTTGCTCTCCTAGGCTGACTGAGCAACTGTAAGCATAGGAGTGCGTGTGTCAGCAAGCCCACCTTCCCCCTCATTGGGACATCACTGTCTGCCACCTCCCTGCTGCCTGCCTTCCCTCTCTTCTACATGACCTCAGTCAAGGCTTTAGGAGAATTAGAAGTGGTTCCTCTTAAGAGTCTAGAGACCTCTGGCCATCACCACCACCAAGAGCAAATGTCCTGGGGAGAGCTACAGTGATCTGGTTCTGAGCGGGGAGGGAGGGACTCTGCTGCTAACCAGCTTTGTCACCTCAGGCAAGTCACGTAGCATCTCAGAGTCACAGCTCTTTCTCTTCTTTCTAAATACCCTCTGTTTCCTGTAAGGAACAAACAATATATTTATGGGAAAGCACTTTTTAATTGATAAAACCTTAATTACCTTACATGGGCCCAGGTACCATCATAAATAAATGAAATGGGCTGGGGAGAAGAAAGCAGGGCCGCAATGTAGTCTCTACTGAATGACCCTGGGTTTGGGGAGAACAGGAGCAGGACAGACTATGCACAGTGGAGCATCCAGGATCTAATGCTGACTGTCCTCAGCGACACCAGGGGGCTTCATTGTGTACACATGAAAACTCCTGGTTAAATGTTAGCAACTAATTCACAACTTTAAAAGCCAGGAGACCATTCCTGAAAGGCCAAACAAAACATGTCTGAGGGCCAAATTTGGCCCTGAGGTGCCTGTTGGTGACATGTGATTTACACACACATCCTACCGTTCCTGTTGTTCAGCGGGATATATAGGGCTGGGACCCCCTACCAGTTCTTCTCAGTGTCCCTCCCAAAGACTTCCTTCCCTAAGGCTGCTGATGTGTGTGCGTGTGTGGTTGTGTCCTCACAGTGCTAAGATTTTCCGGAGAGTTCTTCATGTACCTTCATGTGTGGACACTGTAAATAACTCTTCTCATGAAAAGTTAACTGGGCCTTAAACCAATCCAACAGGGTCACCATCTGGAAGTCCTCAGGAACAGTGGATTGTCAGCACTATAAACATTTTAGACTTCACGGAAGACACTGACTTTTTCTAAACTAATCATCCCTGCCAGTCAAGATTTGCAGTATGGGTTCAAGAACAAGGCATTCATTTAACAACAATAACAGGAATACTGAGGATGAAGAGCGGGCGGTCATCATAATGAAAGGCCTAAAAGCAAACTGTGACTTCCCTAATAAGGCGACAACCAAAGTTAGCTCTCTGGTGGGGGTGCACCAATACGATTAATCAGTCTGTTTTCAGTTTTCTCACGACAGCAATATTAACAGTTTGCTTTATTCTGTTTATATGGTGCTGACAGGTCTTCAGCATGTTGGGCCTCCTTGCTGGAGATTAATGGCTACTCCTATACGGAGGTAAAAACCAGGCAAGGAGAAAACGCCTTTCACAACTAGATGAGATCTGGCTTCTCCTGCTCTCTTTTGTTCCCTGCTGCACATCAAACTCCTCTCTCTTAATTTCTATCAAGGTTACACAAGATTAGTTGTATCTAGGAGCTTCTTCTTATGTTTAAATTCCACTTTAAATGTTGTGTCCCCAAGTGAAACAAAAACAAAGGGAACCTTAAATATTACTTCTGGATAAGTTTATCATCTCTCTTATCAAGGGTGCAGTTGGCTCATTTTGTTTTTAAAACGCCAGACTCCTTATAAAGGTAAAAGATAGGTAAGAGATGGCCTCTGGTGACAGGAATTTCAGCATCTATGGTTATTTAGTGCACACTTTAAGAAGAAGGCAGAAATGATATTAAGTATGGCCCAGCTGCAAGAAGTATGGGCATCCCAGAAAATCTTAGACCTACTGCACTAAATAGTCCTCTATTTCAAAACAAAAAGATTTGAAATAACTCAAGACCAGCCCCCTGTAAGTACTGCTTGTGTACTGGTATCCTTTCCTCTGTGCCAAGGTGGGAAGACATGGTAAGCCCGAACGTTATTTTAACAGCATATAAATATAGAGAAACGAAGATAATTTTTCTTTTTTTTTAAATCAATGTGCCTCCTCTAGGGTTCTGTAGGAATCTCATTCTTTGGTCTTAGGGCACCTCCTGCCCCACCCATTTTTATGCAACAACTGCATGAATAAGTATGCATCAAATACCCATGAACCTCAGATCCTTGGCCAGGGTGAGCTCTCCAATCCACTTCCTCCGGCTCACTCCTCTCCTGACATAGGAACAGGAAAAGGGGACTGATTCCAGTAGACAGGGCATCAGGGGCGGCTTTTAAGTGGAAACTTCTAACAAAGATTTTTAAAGCCAGAGATGAGAACATTCTAGGATAATAAAGCAGTATTAATAATAGTATTTACTGAGTGCTTACTATGTATAAGCACTATTGTACGCACTTTAGTTGTAAAAAAAAAAAAAAAAAATTAATTCCCACGACAGAATGCATTAAAGGAAGTTAAACCGTGTTTGAAGTACAAGATATTTGACAGTAGACCAATATACTGGACTAGATTTGCACAGATCTTGAATTCCATACTTAATAATCTGCCTGACATGAAGGCTCAATGGGAGAGGGAAAAAACTGATGTGAGGCTAGTCTGAAGGATACTGCAATAGTCCTGAGACTCCAAGCCAGGGTGGTACATTGAAAGTGAAAAGGAGAAGAAAGATTTGAGACTTATGCCCAAAACACAACCAACTAAACTTTTTTTGACTGCTTTGATTTTTTAGTTCATCTATTCATTCATTCAAGAATTATTTTTGAGGGTTGCAGATAGATGAGTCACTGTGCTAAAGGACATTTAAGGAAGAAATAAAATCCAAAGACTGACTCCCTCCTCAAAATTGGGCTACTAGCCATTATTCAGTGGTCTCAAGTGATACCCCAGCAGACATCTATCTGTCCATCCCTTCCTCCTTCCTTCCATTCAAAACTTACTGAGTTTTGGTCATGAACAAGTGAGGAAAGAAAAAAAGACTGCTGTCTTCATTTTCATAGCCCTAGGAGTATCTTTCTAGAACTTCCATTCCTTTTCTGGTGGTCTGGCCATAAGGTGCAGGACATGGTGGTAAACCACCAGAACAGCATAGGTATTCTTAGTCATCCAAATGAAGAGAGGATCTATTTACTTTCTAAATGTATGCCCTGATGTGGCATATTTATCCAAAGCAAAACATCGTATCAGAAAGGTATCTAGAGGCACGCGTCTGGGTGGCTCAGATGGTTAAGCATCGGCCTTTGGCTCAGGTCACGATATCAGGGTCCTGGGATGGAGACCCCGCATCAGGCTCCCTGCTCAGCGGGGAATCTGCTTCTCCTTCTCCCTCTGCCTCTCTACCCGGCTTATGCTTTCTCTCTCTCGCTCTCTCAAATGAATAAATAAAATCTACACATGGGAATCACGTCAGATACCTTTTTTTTTTTTTTTAAAGATTTTAATACTGTCTAGAAGTATAGGCACAAGAAAAACGAACTCTGAGCAAAGCCAAAGGTGTATAGAACAAACTTACTTTGAACATTAAAAATCTTGTATCTAGTTCAGTTGGTAAATTGGAGACCTATAATCCTATCGTCTTTCAGGGAAAGCTCTGATCTGTTAAAATTAAGATTGGCCTAGACTTTATAAGAATAAATCCTGACCGGGCGCCTGGGTGGCTCAGTTGGTTGAGCGACTGCCTTCGGCTCAGGTCATGATCCTGGAGTCCCTGGATCGAGTCCCGCATCGGGCTCCCTGCTCAGCGGGGAGTCTGCTTCTCCCTCTGACCCTCCCCCCTCTCATGTGCTCTCTCTCTCTCAGATAAATAAATAAAATCTTTAAAAAAAAAAGAATAAATCCTGACCATTTTCTAGTGCTTGCTGAAAAACAACGAGGTAATAGAATGACTACCACTGAGAGGTATTCTGCTTTATGGCAGCTGCCTTTTCATTAGTATTTTATGAGAGCGTGTCTAGATATTATGTATTCCTCACTATCTACATTTAATTCTTTTTAAAATGTCTTCTGGGGTTATGTCAGTTTCTTTGGATCTAACCAGATCTCAAATAACAAACTAGAGCACTTTAATATTTTCCAAAGGTTCTTTTGCATGTAGGCTCACCTCCAGAAACCATGACTAAGGTATGCTTTCGGTCATTTCTATTAAAACATTAAAAGGTATTTTTAGGGACCTATGAACACCATCAACAATTATCTCGAGTGTAAGCTAGTTCATATATGCCAAGGGTGAGACTTGAAATGCCAATAAAATCTAACTGTAAAAGAAGGAATTTGATGAGAGCAGGCAAATTTTAACTTCACAGTTTACTTTGAGGATCTGAACCTGGTATGGACTTGTGTGTTCTATGAACTCTGTGATAACTAAGCTATGGAAGAACAGCCTGCATAGACGGGGACATGAAAAGGCAGAATCCTGGGCCTGTGCATCTTAACCCAGCCTCCACGGCCTGCCTCACTTACCACTCCCGTTTCTGTATGGAAAGTAAGATCTGAACAACCACCTACTTATTTCCACTGAAAAATGTCTTTAAGTTATGGAATAGTTCAAACATGCTCATTTTACAAATGGAACTAGGAAAAGTGTGAAACACTCCAGAAGTGATCAGTGAGGACACTCCCATGATTATCAAGTTAACCTAAGGGGAAGAGCAGTCTTCACTGTTGTGGGAAACTAGTTCCCTGGGTGAAAAGCCTTCAGTTGTGCTCAGATACTGCCTTCATTGTTCTGGGCTCAACCGGAGAGGACTTTGGAGGAAAAAAGTCAAAGATGAGCCTAGAGGGAGAGCCACAGAACTCGAGAGGGTGCACACCGCGAAGGCCGGGGAGGCCATCTGACCACCCTCCCCTGGCGGGCGGGAGAGGAAAAGCAAGTGGAGCTGCCTGACCCGTGACCTACCTGCGGCGCAGGTCCTCGGCCACAGCCGCCCGGCAGCTGAACAGGTAGGCGCGCAGAGACTTCAGCCGCTGCCGCAGCCGCACCACGGTGGCCAGGGGCTCGGCGTGGCGGTACAGCATGGGGTTCTCCTGCTGGATGTCGATCAGGGGCTCTTCGTACACGTACTCCAGAAACTCTTTGGCCTGCTTAGATACCTACGAAATAAACTTTCTCGGTCAGCCTGGTGAATCATCCAGCTTGCCACACCTCCTCCAAGTAGGAACCAGAGTTTAAATATCAGAGTCACATTATTTTTTTTTTACTTCTACATTTTTTTTATTATGTTACGTTAATCACCATACGTTACATCGTTAGTTAGTTTTTTTTTTTTTAAGATTTATTTATTTGAGAGAGAGAGACTGAGAGAGAGAGCATGAAAGGGGGGAGTGTCGGAGGGAGAAGCAGACCCCCCGCCGAGCAGGGAGCCCGATGCGGGACTCGATCCCGGGACTCCAGGATCATGACCTGAGCCGAAGGCAGTCGCTTAACCGACTGAGCCACCCAGGCGCCCAACATCATTAGTTTTAGATGTAGTGTTCCATGATTCGTTGTTTGCATATAACACCCAGTGCTCCATGCAGAACGTGCCCTCTTTAATACCCATCACCAGGCTAACCCATCCTCCCACCCAAAGTCACATTATTTTCTGAACAAGCCAAGAGAAATAGCCCATAATTTAACTAAATATAAATTTTGGCTTTTCTTTCTCTCCTCCAGAAACTTGTAAAAGTAATCTTGCATGGAAAGGAATTCATTAATTCTGAATCTTGATTATACGAATCTACACGTGATAAAATGACACAGCACTATACAGACCCAGGATACCCATGTTCACTTCTGGGGTTTTTCTGTTTTTTTGTTTGTTTGGTTTTTTTAATATTGTACGATAGTGATCTAAGATGTAACCAATGGGAGAAACTGGGTGAAAGGTACACAGGACCCCCTTTATCTATGCAACTTCCTGTGAATCTATAATCATTTCAAAACTTAACATTGCTGTTAAGAGTCTTAATTTTTCATTTTTAAAAACTATACATGTATATTCTGTACTACTTTTATAAGTAGCCACTTTTTTTTTTTTTAAGATTTTATTTATTTGACAGAGAGGGACACAGCGAGAGAGAGAACACAAGCAGTGGGAGAGGGAGAAGCAGGCTTCCCGCAGAGCAGGGAGCCCGATGTGGGACTCGATCCCAGGACCCTGGGATCATGACCCGAGCCGAAGGCAGCCGCTTAACGACTGAGCCACCCAGGCGCCCTATAAGTAGCCATTTAAAAAAACAGGTTAATCATGTACATATTACAAAATTCAAAAGGAATAAAAGGATAGCCTAAAACGATAATTTGCATAGAAAACAGGCTCAAAAAACACACTTTAGTGAACAGAAAGGCGCGCTCTTAGAATAACTTTGAGCTTGGGCTGACTGTCTAATCTATCCATCCAATTCTATATCCACTTCTGGTAGTAAACATCAAGCCTATGAAAAGGTGATTTTAAAATGTCATTGTCATTAGAGTAGAAACACAATGCATCCGAGATACAGAGGGAGTAGCTTAAATAATGTGTAACAAGTGGGGAATTTGGGGGAATCGTTACATACCGATTCACCAGATACTGAGATGTGGATTGGCTAATGATATGTAGATTTGGTTTAGTTTCTATTTATGGAAGGTAAAACCTCTCTAAAAAGTTTCCACCAAAACTACTCTAGTACTGGGAGTAATGATAGAATTCAACATTAAAAAAATTCTGCTTATTAAAAAGAAAATTGAAAATCCACTATGCTTTACAGTCCAGCCTAGAAATTTATTAATGAAGATAAATAGGATACAGTCTGTACCCTCAAGGGGCTCACTATTTAGTATCACAGATAAATATTTAAAATACAAACTACATGTAGCACGTAGCCTGTCCTCTAGTACAGAAGAAATACAGATGAGGTCCACTGGGAGCTTAAAGGAAGGAGAAATCAACTGTCCTGGGGGGAAGGGAACCCCTGACAAAGCAGGCCACACTGCCTAAGGTCTAGAAGGATAAACAGAAATTCACTTGGTGGGCAAGGATGGGACAGAGGAGAGTACCACAACTAGATACAACCATGAAATACAACCCCCGCAGTATAAATAGGTGATAACTAAATGTACAGCTATTGTATGTTGATTAAAACACATTTATGTAATTTAATATAAAATAGAACTCATATAAAAGTTTGTCATAGATACAAAAGCATTGATTTTTTTTTTTTAAATAAAGTCTCATTTTTTTTTCCTTATTAGCAATTTTTGAGGTACCTGTTGTGTGATCCTTTGGGGGTCCTGCAGTTACATAGCTGGTGAAGTTTACAGTCCGTACATCAGCTCACAAAGAGGCATCTGGAATTAGCCAAAACCTTTCACTACTTAACCAGATGGGAAATAACAGTTGGCAAGGATAAATAATGCTTCACTCTGAGGCATTGAGACACAGGTACATGCCAGATAAATACCATAGCAGGCATTAGTGGAGAATAAAGTAGGCAAGGCCCTGTCCTCATGTAGCTCAAGGTTCGGTAAGAAAGACAGAATTGGGTTCAAATATTTTATTTATCATGGTTAAATATTTGCTATATTTAAATATCTTAAATGGGGAAAAAACGGATAGTGTTCTGGGAAATGAAGTACAGTCCACTTGAAACTGTTGCTGAAAAATGATGTATTGTACAATTCAATTAGTCTTTCTGGCTCTATTGAGCAGTGTTTATACTGAGTCAGGGCCCTGCTGAATTAGGTTAACAATACTACCTTTTAGTAGGTGAACAGAAGGACAAAGGGCACTGGCCAGTCTCCCAGGCCTGAAAAGGCTTCTCTCTTCAGGTGGTACTTAAGCCCAAAAGGGGGGGGGGGGGAAAGTCTTTTTCAGAGACAGTGAAAGCAGTGAGACAAATGGGACAGCAGCTGCTGACATCAGTGTTCATAAGCTGAAATTACTAAAAACAAAAACAGAGCTAGTTTCAATAATGTCTAAGGCACTGCTTCATGAAGTTATTACCCAGGGTTAAGAATACAGAGCATACTGTGACTGCGGCTGCCCGAGTAGGTGAATGAACCCTGCAACACTGAGCCATGTTTTTGGCAGCATGGCTGAGCACACGCTCACTTTTGAGAATCCACCACTTGTAACTATGTAAGGGAATTTTTGAAAGAACTAAGAATTTGGCATAAAATGCTACTTTTGCAAAAGAGAGTGCTGTATCCCCACTGATTTCCTAAGTTCTAAATAAGCCTGCACACTGGTATAAGGATTCCACTTTCAAACTCACTGTAATTAGAAAGCTTTTTTAAAAAGATAATGTTAAATATATAGTTACTTAGGGAAGGAAGCCAGTGATACTCTTTTAAGTGAGAAAGTTTCTTTCCTGTTAACAGAAATATTACATAAATTATATGTGAACACCAATTATATTCCACCTAAGAGCTAAGAGCTACTGTCCTATTTCTTGCCAAATTATGAAAACCATGAAAAGCCTGAGTGCTTTTCTGATGTATGTAAAAATTCAGCTCATAGGTGCAGATGGATGGGCCCAATACATTTTCTAAAAATGGTTTTGGTTGGCATTCTTTTCCATGATCCCATTCCATTCACATTAGAAACAACTTTTATAGGACCAATAGTTCATTTTTCAAACCTACTGACCTTTGGTATTTTAGTAAATAATATTTCATGTTTAATATAATTTCTTTCCACGGCTTTTTAAGCTTAAAACCAGACTAATTTAAGCTATAAGAACTCAAGTCTGTGACTTGATTTTGTTGCAGTTTGTGAACTGATGCTCCCTTGACAGTGCTGCAGTCTGCGTGATCCAAGAGCTGAGGAGGAAGTCGAGGCCGACTGCTTCTCCACACCTCACACACAGGAGTTGGAGCAAACAGCAAGTGGGTTATAATCAGCTACAAATTATAAGGACCCAATCTGCTCTATAAACATACGTATTTACAAATAAACATTATTTGAGAAGTAACCATCATTGGTATAGATTTAAACATAATACTCCTTTTGTTAAGCTGGTGACTGCTACCTCTTAAAAACCGAATTCTCAGATGTTCAGGTTTACGTAATTCTGAGAAAGAGGTTCTGGAATGGTGTCCTGGTATGTTCCCCCACAAAAACAGCCCCGGGTAAGAAAACAATGGAGCAGAGGGAATGTTTACCCAGAGACAGCAGTTTGCAGATGATGTGGTGGGGGTGGGAGTAGGGAGGAGTTCAGTTTTTGTTAAGGGAGGAGAATGCATTAGAATAAAACAGATGAGAACATAATTTTAGAATAACAACTGGGACAAACAGTCTGGTTCCATTTTTCTCAGCAGGTGTTCCAAGGAACACCGGTCCCACAAAAATGGTGCTCTGAGGTCCAACAAGAAAAATGCCACATGCCACATTCCTCTCTTAGTGATTCAGTGTAGCATGTTAGCCTATGAAAGCCTGTGGACATCGTGTCTGCATCACGTGCTTAGCCCAGCAATTTCCCAAACCTATCTGCAGACAAGGCAGCTATTTAGTGTTGTGCTGGCCTTGTACAGGGGGCGGTAGGGGATGAAACTCAGTCTGGGCCCTGCTTACCAACTGGAGGAAGGGGCCTCTATCTCTAACTCCTTCCAATCTCTTGCCATCCTGTGAGCTCCCAGGGCTGCATTCTCTTGAGGCGCCCTGTTCCAATTACAAAGCTGGCCTGGCTGAGACCCTCCTATAGAACCCTCTTTTTGCAGAACACCTATTAACAAGCACAGAACTTGTTAATGCTCCATGGAACATATTTTGAGAAATGCTGAATTAATATACTTAATAGAAAAAAAATACTGAATCCAGAAAGCTTAAGTGACTTATCTGTTCAGATCTCTGGATACCCTGTTCTGTGCTTTTTAGCATTATTTATATTCACAGTTCTTTTTATTCTTTAATAACTCTACCATAAACTATCTATTCGTCACTCCTCAAAGGAGGGGATCCCTGTCCAGGTTCTGTCCTTCCCTTTTCCTAAATACAAAGTCAAGGGGCTACAAAGGGAGACTAACCAATGATGTAATTTGGCAGTATGCTGACCATTTAATTTTAGCTATGAAACAAAAATTAAGTCCAGTAACCCGTCATTTATCTAGAAGTCACTTATTTGTGTATTTGTTTACTAGTCTTTCTCCCTCCTTTGGAATACGAGCATTCACAAGGCAGAGACTGTCCCCACTGCCTCCAACAGTGAGTGTGGTGGGTGTTCGACAAATACTTGCTGAAGAAATGGATGAGTGCTTTACGATGCTCTGGCTGGGACCCTGAACCACACACTCCTAACAGCTCGGCTAGTTGTTTCTAAGCTCACCACAGCTTTAGAGTTAAGAAAGTAGAAAAGGGGAAGGACAGCCCGAGGCAGCACAGTCACACCAGAAGTGAGAGCGGAAATCTTGGTACTAAGGAAGAAAGGTGCCTGCAAGGAGATATGGTGAAAGTGCAGCACACAGTCCTGGCTGAGGACAATCTGGAACATGCGGCAAGCTAAAAAATGTACAAACCTACATCTAGGAAGGTGTCCTCAGTCTCACTTGTGAATGAAAGTACTTACAGTCAAAATGATGTATCAAGTTATTCATTGAATCATTATCTGTAATACCAAAAGACTGAAAAAACAAAATCATCCAAGAAAGGCCTGGTTAGATTGTCGTGTGTGTATAAAAATGTGTAAAATTCATGACTGAATATGGAGTGGCTATACAAAAAAAGAAAACAGGAAAAGAAAGCAGGCAAGCCCCAGATGAGGGATATGATCTAAGTGGAAGGGAGGGCTCTCCAAGAGCTGCATGTAGATCATCTATTGCCACTGTTGTGTGAATAAGCACATGTACATAAAATACCTGTGGAAAGAGGGCGCCTGGGTGGCTCAGTTGGTTAAGCGACTGCCTTCGCCTCAGGTCATGATCCCGGAGTCCTGGGATCGAGTCCCACATCGGGCTCCCAGCTCGGCGGGGAGCCTGCTTCTCCCTCTGACCCTATCCCCTCTCATGCTGTTTCTCTCTCTCTCTCAAATAAATAAATAAAAT